GGAGTTTCTATTATTGCCATCAGTGCAAATTACAAATCCCGAAAATAACGGGATTATTTGCCAAAAATCCCGCAATTTTCGCGATCTAAAAAAGGCCGGGATTCCGATATCCCGGGATTAATATTCCTAATACATACATAGTTATATGTACACCTATAGTTTTATGGACATATGCAAAAGCACCACTATAAGTGTGCATGGATTGTGTGCTACCCTCTACGTTAATGGATACCCAGTGCAGCATTCCACCAACGTCAATAACAGCTCAGTATGAGTTTTCGGATTTGGTAGGAATGCAAGAGTTGTTCAATCAAACGTTCATTGACACAATGACTGTCACACAGACCTACTCGTTCGCTAAGCTTCACGTTGTTCAAATACCTATACATTTGAATGTATGTCGGAGAGTATGGCATATTTCAATACATGCCACAGTGTGCCCCCCTCATAACTATGTACTTGTATAATTGTCATATGTTACGTCGAACTGTCTGCCCATTTGTCTAGCCACCGCACATGTACAGACACCAGCCCACCTCCCAACTAACACTCTCTTTCGACAAAGGAGTAGATACTCCGTTGGCCACCAACCGAGTTATTCGTGCACATATTTGACTGTCACTTCGTCCGCCAGGCAAAAGTACAAAATTGTCAAATATTGTGTGGTTGCTTTTGTTACTACTGTCGTTGGCTGTTAGCTGTTAGCTGGTGTTTGTTGTTGCCAGCGCTGCTGCTCGAACTGCTATTGCTACAGCTGATGTTGACAGTTATAAGGCAATGGTAACAATATTGGTTTTGTGTCAACTCAAATACTGTCAAACTAAATGTGTAGCAGTTTGCATATCCCCTCGTCGCATCGGTAGCCTTGTGTGACTTGTGTTTTACTGTCACAAGTCTCTAATCGGATCACATTGACTCACATTTTTGTAGTAGATTTTTATTGTAAAGCATTACATGAATATTGCCAGTATTTGGTGTGCTCACACACAGAGTTGAACAACCCACATTGAGGTTGGTTGGTAAGAGAACGAAAATGAAATAAAAGCAGCAGCAATGGAAAAAGTGGAAACAAAACATTTAAAAAATGGCTTATATTGTCCTACAACGACAGTTAGAAAAGCAAATTTACAAAGTTGTAATATTTGTATGTACTTTTGGCACTACGAGTGCGTACATGGTAGAAGTTGCTCATAAATAAATTAACAAAGTTGTAGAAAATTACTTTTACAAAATACGCCAGTTGGTGTCGGTTTTTTTGGTGGTACTCTGTGGAATTATTTGTCAGGGAATTCGAAGCGACTTTAATACTTAAATACTTAGTAAACTTTGTTTTAAAATTTTCTGGCTTGTGGTGGAAATTTCTGAACATCTAAAACTACTGGTATTTGAAAAGAGACAGAATTATTTTTCATTCACTTTTTCTAGTTTTTAAGACTCCACGTTTGAATAAAACTCTTTAAAAAAGACGAAAAACAAATCATGACTCCGAAAAATCACTATCATCAGTGAGCACCAAATTTTTTTTATTGATACTCTGTAGAGTGTACAGAGGAGAGTGAACAAATATTGACAGGACAATTCTGGCGAAAATAGTAAAAAGTCTTTCGAAAGACAAATGAAAGGCAATGGCCGCGTGAGCAGAGCGTTGGCGTGCCATACGAGAGATCCGAGTTCGAGTCCTGTTGTAAGTGATTTATTTTTTAAATTTATTTTTATTTAATTTACTTTTAATTTTTAGATTTTATTGTTT